TGGTGGGCATGAACTACAGCTGGTCTGCCCAGCTCTAAATAATGAGCCTTCTTCCCTTTGTGGGTGGATTTCTGTGTTTTAGGAGCAGCCCACAGAAGAGAACCTGAATGAGAAGCCACTGACTACAAAAAGCCTCAGCAGCAGCAGTGGGAGAGACAGAAAGGAGGAGCAGGTGGAGGGAGCTGCATCCGAGGCCATGCTGCGACTCCTACAAAGCGCCTTCAGAAGAAACTCACCACCAAAGCAATCACCAAAGAAGTCTCCAAGTGCAAAGCCCAACATCCCTTACGAAAATTTCTACGAAGCCCTGGAAAAGCTGAACAAACCTTCCCACCTTAAAGACACTGAGGACAGTCTGTATAACGACTATGCCGATGTTTTCTATAACACCAAACCTTACAAGCACAGAGATGACCGGCTGCTGCAAGCTCTGGTGGACATTCTGAGGGAGGAGAACTAAAGAAGTCTGTGATCCTGAGTTGGAAATATTCATGCTCCTTCCTTACCCATAGATTTTGCCTGTGTCTGAAGTGGGTGTTTTTGCCATTGATTCTTATGCTTATAATATCTTTTATTATACTTTTTCTTTTTCTCCCCAAAATGGATATTTGAAAGAGATGAGCTCCAACAGTAAATCCAACTTCCTGAATGGATCATGGATCTTTTCAAGCACCTCTTCCTGCCTACACAAGTAATGCGTTTGTTTTTTCCAGAGCCACAGTTCACACGTGGTCCTCAAGCCACATTAGAATGCCTCCCTGAGCCCTTTCATTTCATTTCTCAAAAGAAAAGTTATAACCTGGGGCAATAGATAAATTTGGAAAGTAATCTGCAAAGAATGAGAGGAAGGAAATCTGTTCTGATAGCTTGTCTCCTGTCTTTGCTCTGTGGTTCTTGGAATTTTGATGCCAAAGACAGCTTTGGAAAGTCTCGAATGAAAGTGTTCATAATTAGACCCCTACCCCATCTTTTCTATTCCAAAGTACTACTTATTTAGGGAGTAGTACTTAGATCCATAAACAGACCTCAGAATCTGTGTGATCTGGTTTGGGCTGTGTTAGAACATTCCTTGCTTGGTGTGCCACGTAAGAGGCCTCTGTTGATCCAACGGTGACTGAGACACATGCTGTGTGTTCTGGTCTTCCTCCATTTCCTCCTCCCTTGTCTTAGCCACAAACTGCATACTGAGAGAACTAATTTATGCTACTTTCTTAGAATAAACTTACACTTGGCACTCAGCAAGTTCCTAGTCATAATTTTTATTATTAATAATAACAGAAAACCACTCATAACATGGAGAACCAATATAATAACAGGGGAGAGCCAATGGGAGGTTTTGTTTGTTTTGAAAATTGTATTCATTAGAATAGGTTTTTCTGGATCCCTGAAACTGAGTATTCATTCCTTGACACTAAAGGCTCTTCCGTAATGGTATAGCTGATAGTATCCAAATTCTCATCAAATGGCTTCCAAGTTTCAACTCAGAGGACACGAGGTGGCAGCCCACAGGCCACATTTGTCCTTCAGGTAGGTTTTTTTTTTGACATGTAAAATGTTTTTTTAAATGTGAGTGATTATTGAAAATATGAGATTTTACATAAAACCTGATACTCAGACCCATCTTCCATCATGGCCAAGTTGCCTGGAGCTATGTAGCTAAACTTGAGTGGCAGGTCCCCAAGGCTCTCTGCTTCATGCTACCTATGGCAGCCACCTTACTGATGAGCACTCAATAGGCCTTTCATTTGGCCCCACTCTTGAACTAAATGAACATTTTCAAAGTGTAAATGCACTAGGAAAAAATATCTTCAACTTCTTTCAGGCAGGATCTGTATAATAATAATTATGAGAATTTTCCATGACTTAATTAAATTATTGGCCCCCAAATGGTATTTTAGACTCCTGCAAGTACCTCTGATATCTAATCTGACATGTTCATTTAACCTCACCTCCCCTGGATGCCCATTTACACTAATTCATTAACTGCCAACTGCTTAGCTTCTCATTCTCTCTGTGCTCACAAAGGCTCTAGTCACCTACAATGGCATTCTCCCAGTGGGCTGGCTGTTTGCTGTTCTTCCACGAAGTTTGAACTTTATCAGGCTACACATGAACTAGACCAAGAAGAGAACACTAGAGTCTGTCAAGTGCTTTGGTTTGAAGTATGGTTTGTAACACAAAATTTCACCCCCTATTCCACCATATGAAATTGTGCAGAATAAGGTTATCTCCAGAGCAATACCCATGAAGCTTTAAGGATGTTCTCCTAAAAGAATTACAGTATCAGTATGTTCTTGGAAGTTTCACATGCTCTTCGATATGGACTGTTAGATAGAATTTTTAAAATTTCAGCCCATCAAAAAGTACTAAAACTGAAAAGGACCAGGAGTTATGAGATACATTTTCAACTAAAAACAACAACAAAGCTAAGGCCTAGAGGGGACAATAAACAGTCATAAAGGAAAGCTCATCCTTTCCCCATTCCTAGCCTACTGCTAGTTGTCTGAAGCATTCTTTTTTATCCTTCTAACAGAATCTTTTCCTGATTAAACCCCCAACCAGCTCATTGAATTGCAGCCAAGGTTCACTTTAGAGAAGCTTTGATATTTAAATAAAGTCATGTTTGAATGTTTCCAACCTGGAGTATATTGTTCAGACAAAAAATATTTTTGTCAGTCTTTCTTAGTGCCTGTGTGAATTTTTGTGAAAATGTAAGAGAAGAAACATATACTATTTCCCTCAAAAATTTAAATTATATTTTCTTTACAGGTATTTATAATGTAGCAATGCTTTTATCAAACAGAATTTTAAAAGGCATAATAAATTATATTAAAGAACAAAAATTTTCCTGAGAATAAGAAAGTTTCGTCCAATAAAATATTTTTGAAAGGCATGTTCCTCTGTTAGTAAAAATAAAAAATATAATATGTGTTGTGATTAAAAAGTGACATCTAATAGCCTAACATAATGTGTAGCTGACTTTAACATGTGTGATTTTAGCATTCTTAAGGGAACTCCCACATTATACACTTGATGTATTAACCAGAATATGTAAAATATGCTTATAAATCAGAAGAATAAATGATTTCTCACTAAGTCAAAAAGAAAAAAAGCTCATGTTTCCAACAAAAATAGGGTCTCTTTTTCTTATTGTGTTTCCCAATGAACTGTAAAAAAAAATAGTTGATGGTTTACATTAAAAAGGTAATTCCTTTGTAGAATAATGGGCTTTCTTAAAGGCAATTTAAGAATTATTTGAATAGGTATATTTTATTTTTCCTTGTAGCTCAGTCTTTCACTTTTTGACAACATAAAAAGTTCTATAACTGAGCCTTAACTGAAGTATTGAGAAAAAAACAAAAACCTAAAGGGACTTACTACCTGTGAGAGAAAGGGTCTTACTATATGACTTTGTTTATAGGCCAGATTATAGCAGCTAAGCATCAAATCCTTCTTTCCCATCAGAAGTCCCCAATTCCCAACTTTAACACCCTGCCCTCTGGCCCACTTTCCTCTCCTGCTCCAAACCTGCCTCCCTGACTTTCCACCCCCATGTCTGAAACTTATCTTCCTAACCTGGGTGGGTGGTTTTCCCTCAGACTCTATTCCTTCCTTCTAAATCATAATTATTCAGTCAAACGAAAATATTTTATTCAAGAATTCCAGAAAGAATGTTCTAACTAGCTCTGTCCTCCACATTCAGCCATCTTCAAAGTCTTCCCACCAGAAGGGTTCAAGATATGCCTCAGCTTTCCTTTGAATGCCTATTTGGTAACTGTTGGATTAACCATGTGCAAGCCGAGAGTACAAACACACATACATACATGTCCCGAAGATAAACATTAACTCTTATATACAAATTAAACCCATAAGAAGGACGAGTAATGTTTTCTAACTGCCTCATAATTGTGCAAGGTTATAGCACTAACACACAGGATAACGATTATTATCCACTCCACTCCCTCTGCCCCTGTGAGAGAGTGTACTTTCCTGGCCCATTGATGTTGAGCTTGACCACGTGATTTGCTTTGGTCAGTGGATTATTAGTGGATGTGATGTAAGCAAGGGCCTAAATGTGCTTGCACAGTTTGGCTTGGCTCTTGCTTTCAGTGATTCAGTGCTCTGAGAAGAGTATGCCCCAGGGAATTACTGCCTCTTCAGCCTGTTTCCAGAACAAATGTATATGTAGCAGATTGACATTCTGGAACCAAACCCAGCCAACTTACAACCCGAGACAGAGCTGTCCAGATAAGTGCCGCCTATATAAGCTGCATTTGTTATCTTGGCAACTTGTAAGAATGAATAAATGCTTGTTGTAAGCAACTGAGTTTTGGGGTAGTTTGTTACATAGCCTTACTATGTCAACAACTCAATAATAAAATAAAAGTTTCATTTTTTCATCCTGCTACTAATACCACCCCTTTCAAATTGTGCCTTGCTGATTCTGGAATACAAACAAAGAAGCCAGTATTTAACCATATACCTCTTCATGCTGATCCCATAGCTAAACAAAGACCCTGTCCAAGCCTGGACATTTTCATTTTTAGAGGTGTGTCTTAGCTTAGTTCCTCCTGTACGCAGAGCTGCAGATAAGGAATAACTTGTGTATGGGTAGTTTATTTAGGAAGTAATAGTAGAGAGCAGAAGTGATTCACATATACACACAAGTAGCATGCAGTAACACTGATCAGCACAGGACTTACACAAAGACTAGAATGGACATTTCACCTAAGAAAGGCATTGGTAGAAGATAACTCAGAACAGACATGCTTTCCTCCCTCCCCCATCCCCACCCAATCCAGTGCCTTGGTACTTCCATTAGCCTCTCTCAAAAGCTAGATGCAACCCTAGGGTAAGGGAAGAAAACTTATTGGCAGATAGCAAGTTCACAACACTTATTAGAATGGCAACTTTTAACAGAAACAAAGTTCTGTTATATAAAAAAAAGAAGTAATTTTTGTTCACCTGGAGTTTGGCTTGCAATTTATACAATTGTACAATGTGTAATGCCTGTATTGTTACATATAGATATTATATAAACATTGCTCAATCATCAATGTATGGACAAGGATGTGACTATAGTTATTACAAACTACTTCTTGGAGAGTATAAATTTTGAACAAAAAATTCTAAGATAAGAGGGATTTGTAATGAAAGAGAAATGTATGGGTTGTTTCAAATTCTCTTGTCAGAGGGAACTAGAATGCAGAAAGCCCACCTGTGAGATCTTATCCATCTCAACAGGGCTCCCACAGTGGATTAAGCCCATCTTGGTTATCTGAACATCCGCGCCCTGGTTCTAGTCATTCTTTACTAGTAATCACAAAGCTTCAGGACATGAATCTGATGCCATCTTGCTCTGATGCTATTTTTTACCTCCAGAGATGAAAAAGATTTAGGCTTGTCGGTTAATTGATAAAAATCATATTGTTCCAATCATTAAAGGGGAAAAAAGGTCTGAAAATGTAACAGCAACAAAAAGTGGCTAGAGGTGTGGGTTCTTGAATCAGCCACAAGCGAATCTGAATCCTGGCTCTACCATCTCTTAGCTATGTGCCCTTGAGCAGGTTGCCCCACTTCTCTTCAGTTAATGATTCCCCAGCTTGATTCTGGGTTCTATCAGAAGTCAGACTTGTAATCGCCATGTGCCTGATTATTTGTGACAGCAGCTCATGCCTCCTCCTTGCCTCAGTATAAAATGCTGCAGCACCACACTGCTGACAGAAAACAGGTACCAACCATTATCAAAGAGGAGACACGTCAGAGCCCACCAACAGTGCTACAGGGCTGAGTTGGACCTCATCTTCAAGAGGGAAGACAATGGAGATGTGGGAAGAAAGAGGGAACCCACCCAGTCACTCATGCTCACAATAGAAAAGTGGCTATTGTTTCATTTTGTTGAGTGGAGCTCAGTTTATCTCTGTTTTCTGAGAATAAATTATTACTTGAAAAGTATCTTGTTGGACAATAATTATACCCTGCTACTAGAGCAGGGGTGGGCAAACTTTTTGACTCGAGGACCACAATGGGTTCTTAAACTGGACCGGAGGGCCGGAACAAAAGCATGGATGGAGTGTTTGTGTGAACTAATATAAATTCAAAGTAAACATCATTACATAAAAGGGTACGGTCTTTTTTTTTTTTAGTTTTATTCATTTCAAACGGCCGTAGTTTGCCCACGGCTGTACTAGAGCATAAGTATGGACTGCCTTCTTGGTTTACAGATTAAAATGCATTTGCCTAAATTCCAAGCAGAAAGTCTTGGAATTGGAAGGGGTTGTCGATTTTCTTTACCAAACTCCTATACTTGAGAGAAATGTGGGAAGGATTCTGGGGAAGGATTTCTCCTTTATATAAAGAGATGCAGTGAAGAAAGCCCCTCCTCTTCATCCAGACTCCTTGGGTTTGTAAACAATGTCTAGGACTTTGCTGGCCATTTTTGGACCTTCCTTTATACAGTAAATCATTTCTGGAAGAGTTCCCCAATTTCATAAGCTTCAGGTCCCATAAAACCTGGATCTGCCTCCTGCTCATCTCCCTGATCTAAGTCACCAAGTCCATGGACTCTATCTTTCAAATCTATCCACTTATCTCCATCTCCCATGCTACTATCCTGGACCACTGCCCTCTTCTTTCAACAGAGTTCTCATTGGTCTCCTTTCATATTGTGATGTTTCTAAATTGTGTATGTGTCACACCATTCTCTTCTTTAAAATCCACTGTACTTAGGATAAGGCCAAAGTTATTAACCTGTTTTGGAAGCCCTAGAAATTTTTGTTCTAACTTGTTTCTATAGTTTCATGTCTCATGTCATCTTACTCTCTCTCTCTCTCTCTCTCGCTCTCTCTCTCTCTCTCTCTCTCTCTCCCTTTTTTCTTTTACTGAAATGCCTCAAGTTAGTCTTGAAAACACACTATTCTGCAAGAAATTCTCTTCTTTCATTTCTTTTCTAGTTAATTTTTTTCTTACCTACTCTTCAGAGCTCAATTGTAAAATCCCTTCCTTGTGGAAGCCTTTCTGACCATTGCACTAGATTCAGTCGGAACCTCTGGCACCTGCTCCCATACAGCATCCATCACAAGGGCGATCACACATATAATTAATTGTTTAGCGTCTGTTTCTCTGGATAGAGTGTAAGTTCCATTAACATCTCTCAGGTTAACTGCTACACCCTCAAAAATTAGAACCGTATGATGTGCAAGAAGGTGAGTATTCAATATTTACTTGGGGAATATTTAATCAGCATGTGGTTTATCTGCAGGGCAATGGTACACTTTAAGAATTAGAAATTGGCAGCCTAATGCACACTTCTCAAGCAGCATGGAGAGCTGGTGTGAGCACATCCTTCCTAGAGAGGCTGCACAGGTACGGGCTCTAGACTGAGTCAAGCCCAGGTGGTTTCAAGTCTGATCCTGTGGCTTATTAGCCAAATGACACTGAATGAATTACTCTTCTTTTCAAAGTCTGTTTCTTCATCTGTAAAATGGTGAGGGTAACTATACTCATCTCCTGAGGCTGGTTATTTGCTTATTGGCACATATTTGTTACACATCTACTATATGCCAGGTAGTCTGCCAGAGGCCAGAAATAGAGTCATGTGCTACATGGACATGGCCTCTGCCCTCACAGACACTGCTGTCATTCATCATTGTATCCCCGGCTCTAGTATGGTACCTGGTATATAATAGTTTAATATGTAATTGTTGAATTATCTAACGTTATTCTTTATTTTCCCACCTGTTTAAAGTGCAGTTAAGATAAAAGTGCCAATGAGTAAAAGTGGAGAAGAATAGTCATAGCTGATCTTTATGGAGGACTCACTGGGTGTAAAGCAGAAGGCTGAGCATGGTACGTGGATTATTTCATTTAATCTTCATTCAATGAGGTAGACCCACTTATTATTATCCCATTTT